TGAACCCACTCCTGTGGCTTCCAGCCAAACAAAAGACAGGCATATGAGTTGAACATTTACCTGAGGTAGATACACTCCTTGGAGAGAATAATCATGGGAGAAAGAAGGGCTGCTTATGCACAGGGAGACAGCTCAGAGGCCAGAAGTGCATGGAGGGAAGAACACAGGGAAGAAGTAACTAAGGGGAGGAAGTGGGAGGGGAGTTGTTGCATTGTGGTAAATTGTAGTCAATGTCATGAGACAAAGTATATGTGAGCTGCCGTATGGCAAGTGAATTTGCTCTGTAAACTTTCACCCAAATCACAAAAATAAAAACCCAACCAGTTGCCATTGAGTTGGCTGACTCGTGGTGATGCCACATGTGTCAGAGTAAAACTGCGCTCCATAGCGTATTCAATGGCTGATTTTTCAGATATAGATCACCAGGCCTTTCTTCCAACGTGCCTTTGGGTGGGCTCGAACCTTCTTTTCAATTAGTAGTTGAGTGTGTTAACTACAGTAAAATCTGAGAAAGGTGGAACTTATATAAGGCAGAAACCTGTCAGAGAAGAAAAACTAAAATATTTTCCATTAAAATAAGTAATAGAAAAGTAGTAAGTCTGCACCCTGCTAAAGGCTGAAAACTTATAAAACCTGGGAAAACAAGGCAGTCCCATCAAGTTCTGGCTCTCACAGGAGTCACTGTATTCGTACCACCCAGAGACTAAAAATACTTACTTTTGAGGATTTTTTTTCTGGTTAGCAGCAAGACCTCTGACTATGCATGAAAATTCTTCTTTAAAGATAATTTTCATCCATTCAGAAGAGCAAAGAATTATACCATGTGTTTACAAAGAAAATCAGAAACCCATTTCTTTGGAGGTTTCCTCTACATATCCAATATAGAGAATGAGACCAACAGGTTTTAAATCATATACCTCATTACTCCCATGCAAAACAATCAACTCAAAGCTACATTCTGAGTGCTGGAACAATCTCAAGAATGAAAAGCAAATTTTCTAAAATGTTTAATTTATCTTAGAAATAGCAAATTTATTTTTAAATTGTACCTCATTTTTTGTTCCCTTCTTTTTTAGCTGCCTAATTTTTTCCATCTTTCTTTCTTCTTTATCAAGTCTTCTCTTTGATTTTACTTTTGCTTTTCCTCCAGTTTCTTCTTCATCATGTATGGATTTTTTAGAAATCTTTCTGTCAATTGTAAAGTCCACAGATTTTTCAGATTGGAGATCCAGCTCTAAGGAAGATATCACTTGGGTTTCAAGATTTTTCTGATATGAAGACTCCTCGTTGTCACTTTCATCACTGTTGGCCAGAGTTTTGTAAATTCTTCTGACGTTCCCATTTTTGCCAGCATATATGTTCTCTTTATCTTCCTCCTCTGCATTGTCATAGGTACTTTTCTCTGAAAAGGCATTAATGCCCTCTGTTTCAGAATCACTGTCTTGTAGCACCTTTCTGCTTTTCAATTTCTTACTAATAAAAATCTCTTCATCTGAATCTGAAGGAAACACAATTTAAAAAAAAAAATTATACACTCATTTAGCCTACCTCTTTGTAGCCCTACTCCTCAAACACATATTCAATAATACAAGTGATTATTACCTATGAAATTTTGTAACAACAACTAAGAACTGATTGTAGCAAAGCAAATCCAAAAATATACTTTAAAAACATTTTCCCAGAAAAAATGTGTTACTGAAAAATGTAACTATGTATATGAATATATATTATTTACAATATGAAAAGTTGATTCATACATAATTGTTCTAATCCTTCTGATAGGTGTTAAAAATCTTTTTATCATTCAACCAGGAGAAAAATGCATTCAACCAGGCAGTGTGGTGGCTTCTAGACATCTTATACATTCAATAATATAATTGAAATGGCTATTTTCAAAAAGGTATACATACTGTTATTTTGTTTTTATATTAAATAAAACAAACAATAAGATTAGGGCATTAGTAATTTAATAAATCAAGAAATAATGAAATTAATGCAGTTCTTTTAAAACACAGGTTCTTGTGTTCTATTACTAAAAATGAAAGTACTGAATATTACAAACCTCTTTCACTCAAGGTCCCAATTGTTTCACAGCTGCCTTGTCCACTGTCCGAGGGACTATTTGCTGCTTCTTGTGAAATGAGTTTTGGATCACTGATTTCTAGGTGAACCTAGAAAATGTGAATATATACTTAGCATTCTGGCCAGCAGGTGCCAGAATGCTCCAAGCACATAATGATAATACAAAGGATCATGGAATCATCAGGAAGGAAATAAAGAAGGAACCAATACAATGGTTTGATGAAGGGATGACATTAAGAGCTCTGGTAGCATAGTGGCTAAGACACTTGCCTGCTAACCAGACGGCTGGCGGTTCAAACCC